AAAAAAAAAAAAAAGAACAGTGTGTCTACGCAAGTACAGAAAGCACCCCAGGTCGGAGACCCTCATAACGGGGACAACTTGCTGGAAAGACCTTCTTATTGAAAAGCAGATCCAATAGCACAAAGCTTCCCTATTACGCTGTTTCCCTCCTGAGCCAGATACCAGGACATTCTGAGGCATGTCCCCGATATAATCACCTTCAACTATTCGGGGCGTCGTCCCTAAGGATCTAGAGGCAAAGGGCAGTGTGGTCATCGGTGAGGACCAGGGAGGAGACACGTTCCCCAAATATAGAAAAAAATCCCCCAGCTGACCCTTTCACCAATCGCGGGGAGAAAACTTCGGCTAGTTAATCCTCTCCTTTTATGGATGAAACTGGGAGTCCAGAGAAAGGAAGTGAATTGCCTGAGGATGCATCAGGGAGGTCTCCTGACTGTCCTGACTTGTTGTTACAACAGCCATGGTCTGTCCCACCTCACGGGTTTTTCTGCAGAGTTCTGTCTTCCCGGGGTTATCTTACTACCACAAACCACTACGCGTGTCCCTGTGATGCCCTCAGTCCTTTCCGTTGAAGCCACGCTCTCCCCTTGGCTGCTGTGGGGCCCGGAGGAAGCAGACAGCCTGAGACGCCGCAGGGGATCCGGACGCCCAGCAAGGTGGCAGGCCCCGTCCGTCCCTGGAGAATCACCTCGGCACCCCTCCCCCCTGCCCTGGCCCGGGCAGTGGCCACTGCCGAGGTGGCTAGCTGCCAGAGCCCCCCAAGAACTGGCCCAGAGCACCCCCGAGAAGCGCGACGTGAAGAGTCAACCAGTTGTGCGCACTTAAACCTAACTTCTCCGTGTCCCTGCTTCGTTTCCTTCATGGGTAAAGCGGGGACGATATTAAGGTTGTGTAAAGAACAAATGACATAATTTGTGAAAAGCATTCATCTTCCTATGACAGCACCTCAAAAATGTTCATTCTTCGCCTTTTCCCTTTCCCTCTTGTCCCTGAATGTCGGTCATGTTAGGGTTGGGTTAGACCCGCTAACTTTTTCCACTTGGGAGAAGAGTTCACCTAAAGACCAATTTTCACCCACAAGAGTATCCACGTACATCCAGCACTGAATCGAAAACAGCCTGGAGAAGAGTGGATGTTGGTGGGGGAGACAGCTTGAAGAGTCCCCTCCACCTTCTTCCAGAATGACCCGGAACTTGACCCGACCTGGAGCTGCTACTAAGCCCTAAGGCAGAGAATGTCAGAGTGACTGGTCAGAAATCTGCTGCCTTCAAATGGCTGCTCGGCCCCGCATCGTACCCCTGAGTTCACCAACCCCAAGCGGAAGGTTGTGGCGTGTTGGTGAGAAACCCAGAGCGTGTTGGGTTCGGGAGTGGGGCCGGCCCCACGGGGTGCAGCCCACAGAAGGGGCGCAGAGGGAGGAAACACGGAAGGTGAAGGTCGCCATGGTTTCTTTCCGTGGTCCCTTTCCTCCCCCCTGCAAGTGGCTCCCCCTCAAGCGACCATAAGCCAAGGCACAAACTGCAGCAGGAAGCCAATGTCTGACGCGCACATCACAGAGTAGACACAGTGTGAGAACACAAACACACGTGCTGTTAGCTGTCTACTTTCCTGTTCTTGCTCTCCAACAACACGGTAAATACCCAGGGGTGGAGATAAGGACGCAGATATCTCCCCACTGGCTTCAGTTGTAAGGCCTGGCTTCACAGGAGGTTCAAAGCTTGGGAAAGAGACTTGGCCTCAGACCTCGGCTACGCGACCTACGCACTGTGTGGCTTTGGGCAAGTCATTAACATGCAGCTCCCAGATCCATAAATGACTGTTGGGAGGATGAAATAAGATGATGCGTGGAACCGCCGGGCACTGCTCCCGGCACCTGAACGGTCTGTCCGTAACCTCTTGTGCCACCCACGCAGGGCCCCCCATAAACAGACAGTTGAGACCTTTCCCCATGAAATGTTCAC